CATACATACATGATCATACATGCATGGATCATGCATGCATGCATTCATGCATGTGTGAAAGTACACCTACCGGGACCTACCGCCCAAACGAAGGTCTCAAGGTGTCGCAGGTGGTCGATAGTCTCTCTTGGGAACAGTGTGATCTGTGCCGTCCGAATCACTCCCAAGAGGGAGGGCAACGAATCGGCCCAAACGGCCGCAAACCGGCGCGCCGCAAACGGCACAGCGCTGCCTCGTCACCTCGCAGCAGGCCGTCTCGGTTGGCTTCCAACGGAGTGTTGCTTCTGTCAGCTTCGTACCCCAGCTCTCCGTCCCGGCCCCTCTTCATGAACAGAGGCTACTGCCTGCTTTGATGTTTGAAGCTCGGAAAGCTGCGGGAGACCGCCCTCTCGACCTTGGAGAAAGGGAACAGCTCGGTGCGTTACGGAAGTAAGCCACAGCGTGTCAAGTCCGGGGAAAGCATCACTGAGTCTTAGGTCTTAGGTTATTCCCTGAAGTGCAACAAGAACATGTGCTGATGGAGAGCCTCTACACGAAGAGTGAGCAAGATGAAACCCCTAACAATCAGAAGCTCTGAATCCACTCCTTCTAAGCTCCGGGCTCCGAAGCTCAACACGCTCTGGCCTAGGGCTGGGCCGCAGGATGACGGATATTCCACGCACGTCGCATCCATTGCATCCATGGAGGCCATCCCCCGTCTTTTGGTCATAAGTGAATATAGGTCTATATAGGTGTATCCTTCCCGCATCTGTCCAAGATGAGGAAAACTAGCATGCCCAAAACCTCGTGTCAGGGAATTTCGCAATGTTCCGAAAAGAACGCGTTCAGTTGTCTGGCAGCTGTCGAGCATGAGAATGACAGATTTTAACACTTCACTCCGCAACCCAACCCAGACCCGGGAGGCCGGGAGGGACTTCGCTGGGCTCTCTCCAAAAATGGACTCAGGTCCTGGGACAGCTTCGTCCCCCTCCAGCTTTTTCGGAATGAAAAACTGTGAAAGTCCGACTCGTCATGCAACTGCGAGTCCGCGAGCGGATCTGCAAATCTGCAATGCATTTTACTATCCATCGCCTGGCTGCTGCTTTGACATGCATGCATCTGAGGCAGAGGATGCTTGTACTATCACTAACTATCATGGCCCATGGCAATTACTACAGCTAGTACTGAGTTCTGAGCTCTTCCCTGCTCTTCCTGCTCTACTGGTCCTAGAATGCTACTACTAAGGGACTAACTATAATTTCTTTGGGCACTCCGGCCTGCTGCCACAATAATTGGTCCAGAGGTCTCATGATTCCAAGTATCTCTTGCAGGTGCTGAGCCGCGGGCCTGAAAACGGCGCTTGCAACGAAAGGAGCTCCGGAAAGTCGCCTGCACGAAATCCGAGCTTGTGGCACTGCAAAGGTACTCACAAACTGACTGCTTGCCTGGCTTGCCTGTTTGCTTGCTGGCTTTGTTTACATTACAAGTTCCTTGCACTCGCTGGTGTCCACTGGCGTTTACACATGAGACAGCGCAAAACGCACTCTTTCGCAGGCTCTCTCTTTCTTCATTTACTTTCGCGGCACTTCGGCTCTCCATGCTTCTCTAGCTCTCTCGCTCGCTCTTCTCTTGACCCGCCCGTGTTTGCGGCCTTTCAGGGGAGGAAAGCGCGAGATTGTCGCGCAGATGCTACTGGCTCGCACATGCAACTCAGAGTACGAAGGCAAAAACATCAAGTCTAGTGAATTTTCATCTGGCGGTAGTGTTCAGAATCCCCCGAAGGAAGCCTTGGATTACAACGAAACGGCCTAGGACTTTAAAGCCATCTCGGACCGAAACTTCAGCGACTGCGCATCTCCCCGGAAACTCAGCATCCTGTGTAGCTTCGGAGGAATGTGCTTGAAAATTGCATCTTCCGCCAGGGGCACCAGAAATTGTATGTGAAAGAGCGTCCTTTAAATCCTTTAGTTGAAGGCAGACTCTCACTCCCTCGAGACACGATCGGGGACACGAGGGGCTGGCCAGGCTCCGCGGGCCACAGGCTCACTCAGAATCGGGCAACGGGGAGGTTCGCCGTCCAGTGTGCAACCACGATGTCTTGCTTGCTGCCTGCTAGCAGGGTGTGTGGGAGCCCGAAGGTGGCCTCTCTCTATGTCTTCGCTTCACTGATCATTCCCCCCGCTCACCGAGTGGCGCGCCCTGTTGTCGGGCTTGGTGGGGGGAGTGAAAGCGGAATCCGCAAGCAAAGCCGTATTAAAGATATAGTTATCTATCTCTCTCGCTCTCTCTGTCTGCTCTTGTTGTACTGTTCCTCAACACGGTCGCGCCTGCATATGGAGCAGTGGCAAATCGACACCGAAACAGGGTCGCCAACCGCACGGGCCACAACAGCCTAGAGTCATCAACATGACTTCAGTGTGCTTTGCAAGTAGAAATCCACATGCAGCTTTGTTGGCTGCTTGTCTTGTCGTGTCACAAGATGCACTGCCGTCCAAGCTCCACACAAGGACGACATATTTGTAACAACGGTGATCGTACTGATAACGATTGTAAGGTTTACAGCAGTAGTGCTGACCATGACCGTGGTAGAAACAATGATGACAATCATCGTAGTTCGCGGAATATAAATTTGTCATCATGAAGGACCCGTGGGGTTGCTAGCCCTATTGAATCTCTGAGGCATCAGCTCCGCAGAAGCAGGGGAACTCGCGGATTGTAGAGGAGACGTTGGAAGCCGAGTCGCCCTGCAATGCATGGATCAGATGTAAGCTCGTAGAAATGCATTAATGCACGTGCATGCATACCTCCCTCCCTCCCTCCCTGTCTGCCTGGCTACCTAACTGCCGACTTCACTGCCCACATCTACACCCCTAACGACCGATGCCCTGCCTGCCCGGACCATGCAGCTGCAAGTACATGCAAGGATGCACAAGTGCGTCTGCAGGGCCCAAGGTGCAGGCTGGGGTTTCGAATTTAGACGTTTAAGTCTAAGCTCTCGACATGCACGCTGGGACAAGGCAGGCACAAGGCTTAGGGTGACCCGGTGCCTCAGCAGGAAGGTCAGCAACATCCTAGCGGCAGCCAGAAATTGAGCAAGTCAGGCAGTGGGAAGCTGACATGAAGATAGTGAAATTCTCAACCGGCCGCGGCTGCCTCCTCGAGCTTTCCTGCGGCGGCTGCGACATCGCGGGCCACGGCAGCGGAGTCCGAGGTTCGTACCTGGGGCTTATGACGATTATGACGTGGAGATGGGCTCCGGAGTTGGGCATGTAAGCCGTCGACGGCCAAACGCAGGATCTGCCCGCTGCCCGCTCGCCCCCTGCTTCAGGAATGGGTCACAACATACTACTGCAAGAAGCATCTAAACTGGCATGCCCAGGCCTTTTCAGATGGTAGCTGTAGGCCTTGTCGTAGTTCTGCAAGATCTCCTTAAGCGGATTCGAAAGACCTCTACCTAGACTCAGAGTTCAACCTGGCAAGGCCCAGGAGGGGAGAAACATGATCATGAGCCGTGCAGCATATTATTATAGTATAGAATTGAACGTATATTATAGCTTTTTATAGTATATTATAGTATATTGGCTGCAGCATGCTATGCTTCGGGTCCTCACAAACTTCCCGGAGCGCCCCTTCGCGCAGTTTCTGCTGAAGCAGATCTGTGCGGCTGTGGCCCATGCGGTGTCGAAAATTCCTTGGAGCAATCCGCAAGATAAGAATCAGTCTTCTTGTCGCTAGTTGTGCTCTGCGACTTGTTGTGTACGGCTTGAGGTCTGTTAGTTTCAGAAGCTCCTTCTGGCGACGCCGAGTGCTTCAATGCATGTGCTAAAGTTCCAGTGGCTGCTCACAACCGATGCCAAGTGGCTCCACTGCTGAACACAGGGCCTGCCAAGCAAACTGCAAGAGACTGCACCAAGAAGAGCATCACACACGACTTGGCAACAGAATCCTCCACGGAGGGATGCCTCTCAGTAGGCCAGCAAGGGAAGGTCTTTCTGATCCCAGTGACAATTCTTGCAATGCCTCCGCGCCAAAGGAGCCGTAGAGAGCCAGCGAACGTTCGGCACGCAGCGCGAAGGGCACATCCAAGTGAAGCACCAGCGCAGCTGTCAGGACAAGTGTCTTGAAATTGATGCCACGTAGCCCCCAGGGGCTTAGGAGTGCGTGCAAGTGAAGCTCTTGCGAGGGACATCATGAGAATACACTAGGGCAGAGAGATGCACAGAGCTCTTGCAGGAAGATCGGTGGGTTGCTCTTGTGGCAACAGCGTGCGGATGCCAACCTTGACGAAGCCGACGGTAAAGAGCACTTGGCAGCACCTCAGCCACGGAGTTCACCGTCTGGCCGAAGCCAGGGTAGTCATGTCATGACGATCCTTGCGCATCGAAACCCCGAAGCCCGAAACGACAAGACTCCCCAAAATCAGAGCACCCTAGATCATCTCAAGCCCGAAACACTCGACCCTTTTTGCATTCAGGCCTCTGAAATAGCCTGCCGAGCTTTGGTCCAAAAGACCCGCAACTTGAAGGTCCCATTCCTCTGCGGCCTTATCTGGGTGCCTGGCCACCGTGCCAATGCGAGGGCCCTCATCCTAGCTCAACTGGAGGCGAAGAATCCGTTCATGACAAGACGAGTCTGCTTTTGATTGCTGCATGTATAGGCGTGTGCAGATACATAGACAGCTGATTAGCTAGCCAGCTTGTCAGCTGCTAGCAGGTAGGTAGATAATGGTAGATACATACCGATCGATACATGGATAGATGGATAGGCAGGCTGCTAGGTAGGTGTACACACGCCTAGGTACGCATGCGCGTGTTGGGCCTGGGCGTACATGACATGTATGGAGACTAATTACATGAACCTCCGAAGCATATGCACAAGTATCGGTGTACAAACGCAGACATAATATTAATGTGTGCGCTTCTTCGTGCAATGCATTGTGCATGCAATGTCATGCAATGTATGTGCAAGGGTGTATGCGTACCTTGCGTATGCATGTGTCTGTGTGCGTGGGTGCGTGTGTGTCCCTCTCCATCCCTCCCTCCCACCCTGCCTGCTTTCAGTGGATAATGAATGGCCTGCAAACCCTCGCTGCTGTCTGTCTCCAGCAATGAAGTCACCCCGCCCCCAGTCTCGATGTTGTACCCGCCAAGGTGTCCAAACAATCGTCAAGATCAAGTCTGTGTTGGCAGCGGTGCGAAGTCGGACGATGATGCCCCGAACATCAAGAGCCCAGAGCAAACAACCGCACAGGGACAAAGTGCAGGCGTGCTCTTTGCTGCACTTTGGATCTGGTTACAAGGAGCCTTGCCGAATGTGCTTGCGATTCTTCTCGATGCATTGACCGTCGCTTCCTTAAGATAACTCCTGATAGACGAGGCACGGCGAAGTGTGCGGTTGACCACCCAAGATGCACTTTTCTTCGTTAGGTCAGCGGCAGGCCAATCTCCCCGACACAACTCCGCCCCGCGGCTCCGGCCAGCCCATGAATGCAATCCACTACAAAACTCAAGTCAGTTTCCTTATCTCCTTAACTGAGGTTTCCATCCAAAGATGGCTGCAGCCCCAGTGAACTTGCTGTCGGGCACAGCACAAACAGCTCAGCACCTGTGCGCAGCTACCGTTTGTCATTGAATGGCCAGCGCAGCTTTGCAATCAGCCTGGATGCTCTCAGCTTCACCGGCTCTCTCTTCGCGGGACCATGAACGAATTTGGGGCAAAGAACCGAGAAAGTCCTCCAAGTACACCCAGCGCGACGAGTTCAGCGATGCCCACTGCAATGCGACGGCATTCCTGCAGCACGCATACAGTGATTTTGCAGACGGAACGCAAAGCAGACTGAAAATGTGTTGGTCCAATTCTGGTTATTATCCTCATTCGACATTCAAGCATACCGATCTTCACTTTGAGCCCCTTTCGACTTCCCAGGATTCCGGAGAAGGTTACTTGACGTCCTCATATACTCCGAGCTGGGCTGAGTCTTCTCTCCGAGCCCGCCGAAGACGCTGCCCTTGTGGTGGGCCAAAGCCTCACAAAGTCGGCTGAATATACGAAACTGTCAGAGCTTGAAATCGCGATGTCGACCTAGCCATAGCGTGGAAAATCATGTTGAGGGAGCTGTGGGTGCGTGTGTGTGTGTGCGTGTGTGTGCCTGTCCGTCTGCTCGTCCACCTATGATGATGGTCATGGTGATGGTGGTGGTGATGATGATTCCTGCGCCATACTTGACAGCGGGTGAAATCTCGCTGGCCCCCCGAATTGTCTTGCTATCAGCAGAAAGAACAGAAGCGTTTCGGTCGGTTCACGGACGATCTACAATACAGTCATTCCGTGTAGCTTGGGGAAACGAGTGTGCCATGTCAAGCCAGCCGTGGCTACAGGGAGGCACGTGTATTTTTGTCGGGGCATGTGCATGTGTTGTCGTGTCGTGCTGTGTTCGCGCCGGACGTTGAACACGCTCTTGGTATGTGAATGTGTGTGTGTGTGGTGTGTGTGGTGTGTGTGTGTGTGTGTGTGCGCGCGTGCGCGTGCGCGTGCGCGTGCGCGTGCGCGTGCGCGTGCGTGCGTGTGCGTGTGCGTGTGCGTGTG